CTCTAACATTTCCACGTCCTTCTAAGTTGTGCTCCTAAAACCTAAGTACAATTGTTTATTAAGGACTCATGCAGTGCCCAGGCAAAGGAGATGGTTTGTATTCTTAAGGCTTTTATATGTTGCCCTTTCAATTAGACAACTCAGGAACAACCTGATTTTTTTCTTTTCATTAGAAATTCTTGCTTAAAATAATCCTTGTTTAAAATTGGGCATTAACTTCCAGTTAAAAGTAGCAGATTGAGCACAGACATCTACCTCTTCTTTCCCTCAAAGATCCCTTTGAAATTACAGCAAAGATTTTTGTCTGAGGAAAGCAAAACAATACCGGGAAACATATGTTGGTTAAAACTGTTGAAGAATTCCTAGAATGCAGAAAACACATGTGATCAGTTAGAGACACAGCAGAGGAAACCATAGCCCAAGATACTGGAGGTAAGCTTGAGATATCCTCAGGAGCTCCAGGACAGCCCCAAGTTCAAAGTTACCAAATACAAAGCATAGGGTAGGCCAGTTGCCATGTTAATCCTTTAAAAGATTATCCCTATCCCATTCCCACCATAAAGTAGCTGGCAGTGGGAAGATTAGCCCTTGGGCTAAAGCCAGAAAATTATACTCTAAAGGAAGTGGGTGATTTGTGCCCAAAGGTTTGTACTGGGGCTTTTGGGAGCTGAGAAAGAATCGAAACAGAGTCTGAGTATCTCCAGAATATATAGCAGATATAGATGCTCTGCTCCTGTGTCATCACCATCCTTACTCTGGGATCCAGGCTAATGGGGGAGCTACTACATAGAACACTGTCATTTGCCCTGGAAGAGGGAAAAGAGAGTTCTGGAGGGTCTCAGAATAAATGGCGGGTGAATGACACCTATCCCTCTGCTCACACCTCATTGGTCAGAATGAGTCATGTGACCTTAGTCAAGCTCAAGGAGGCCAAGAATTGCAACCTCACCAAGTGTACAGGAGGGAAAAGTGCTGGAAATACTTGGTAAGCAGTACTTATGATTACTCTGTCAGCTACAAAGGAATGAGAATCAGATAAACAATAGAATTTTCACCATCAACACTGTGTGCTGGTGCTATTCAAGCAAGGTCTTTGAGAAAGTGCCCTGTAGTATGAAAGAATCTATAAAAATAAATAAACAAATAAGAACCTTGCCTAAATCAGGATCATGTAATACTAAGGGACATACAAAAAAGTTAATATAAATAGTAGAAAGAGATGGAAATCAAGAACCAGGGAAAAAAGTAAAGAATGCCACAAAAAGTTATAAAAGGATATATATGTGCATATGTATATATATATTAAAAATTTTATATATAATTATGTATAACTATTATATATGTCATATATTGATTTTAAATTCTATGTACAAGACCAAAATGTTTTATTATGATTATAGAATAGAAATCAACTGGTAGAAAATGGAGGATATAGAAATAAATAAAGGCGAAAAAAGTCAAAGCCATGGAAAGTATGATAAAACTTCCTTTGTCTAATACTTGGCATTTCACAGAGCACTTTTGTTGCTTCATTGGAACCCCTTAATGGGCTTCCCCCAAAATGGATACTCTGAGAATGGTTTCCATAAAGAGGTATTTTATCAACTAAAAATAATACATAATAAGACTTGAATTCTATTCATGCTTTTCCTATCTGTCTAGGAAGCAACCTGATCCATGTCATAGTAATAACTTAAGACAAATATCTTAGGACAGTGAATTTTTATATCTTTTTTGGGCTAATGGTCCTTTTGTATCTATATCCAAAGGAAAGGAAATCAGCACAATGAACATGCATGCCCATGTTAATTGCAGCTGTATTAGCCAAGATATGGACTCAACCTAAGTGTCCATCAACAGATGAACAGATAAAGAAAATGTGGTGTATATACACATGGAATACTATTTAGTGATAAAAAAGGATGAAACTCTGTCATTCATGGCAACAGGAAAGATTGGAGGACATTGTGTTAAGTAAAATAAGCCAGGCACAGACAGGTAAATATTGCATGTTCTCATTCATATGTGGAAGCTAAAAAAGTTAATCTCATAGAAGTGGAGAGTAGAATAGTGGTTACTAAATGTGGGGAAGGGTGAAGGATAGAAAATAGTCAAAGATTGGTTAACAGATACAAAAGTACAGCTGGATAGGAGGAATAAATTCTAGTGCTCTATAGCACCATGGGGTGGCTATAATAAACAACAATTTATTGTATATTTTCCAGCAGTTAGAATAGTAGATTTTAAGTGTTCCCAAACACAAAGAAATGATAAATGTTTGAGGTGATGTATATGCTAATTAATCTGACTTGAGCATTACACATTGTATACATGTATCAAAATATCACACTGTACCCCATAAATATGTGCAATTATTATGTACCAATTGAATTACTTTCTCAAGAAAAAAGCAGAAGCTTTTTAATTTAATAAGTTCCCATTTATTTATTTTTGTTATTGCTGTGATTGCCTTTGGGGTCTTCTTGATAAATTCTTTGCCTAGGCTGATATCTGTAAGAGTTTATCCAACCTCTTCTTCTAGAATTCTTATAGTTTCATGCCTTAGGTTTAAGTCTGTTATCCATTGTAAATTAATTTTTGTGAGTGGTGAGAGGTGCAGATTCTGTTTCAGCCTTCTATATATGGCTATCCAATTTTCCCAGCCTCATTTATTGAATAAGGATTCTTTTCTCCATTGTATTAATATGTTTTTGTCTGCTTTGTCAAAGATCAGATGGCAATATGAGGATGGTTGTAATCTAGTTTCTCTGTTCTGATGCATTGGTTTATGTCTCTGTTCTTATGCCAATACCATGCTGTTTTGCTTACTAAAGGCTTGTAGTAAAAATTGAAGTCTGGTAAAGTAATGCTTTCTGATTTGTTCTTTTTGTTTAAGATTGCTTTGGCTATTTGGGTTTTTTTCTGGTTCCAAACGAAATGTAGAATTATTTTTTCTAGATCTGCAAAAGATGACCTTTGTATTTTAATGGGGATTGCATTGACTATGTAAATCACTTTGTGTAATATACACATTTTAAGAATGTTGATTCTGCTAACCCATGAACATGATGTGTTTTTCCATTTGTTTACGTCCTTTGTAATTTTCTTCCTCAGCATTTTGTAGTGGTCTTTCCCCTCCTTGGTTAAATATATTCCTAGTAGTTCATTTTCTTTGTTGCTATTGTGAAAGGTATTGAGTCTTTGATTTGATTCTCAGTTTGACTGTTGTTGGCGTGTATGAATGCTACTGATTTGTGTCCATTGATTTTGTAACCTTAGATTTTGCTGAATTTATTTATCAATTCCCAAAGTCTCATGGCATAATCTTTGGGGTTTTCTAGATATAAGAGCATATCATCAGCAAAGAGTGATAGTTTGACTTCTTTCCCCATTTGTATACCTTGATTTCCTTTTCTTGCCTGATTGCTCTGGCTAGGACTTCTAGCACTATGTTCAACAGAAGTGGTGACAGTGGGCAACCTTGTCTGGTTCCATTTCTAAGTGGGAATGCATTCAATTTTTCCTCATTCAGTACGATGTTGGCTGTGGGTTTGTTGTATATGGCTTTTATAATATTGAGGTATGTTCTGTCTATGCCTATTTTTTAAGAGTTCTTATCATAAAAGAATGCTGAATTTTGTCAAATGTTTTTTCTTAATCTTTTGAGAGTATCACATGGTATTTGTTTTTGCTTCTATATATGTGGTGAATCACATTTATAGATTTGCGTATGTTGAACCATTCTTGCATCTTTGGGATGAAGCCCACTTGATTGTGATGAACTACTTTTTTTATATGCAGCTGAATTTGGTTTGCTAGGATTTTATTGAGAATTTTTGTATTTATATTCATCAGAGATAGTGGTCTATAGTTTTCCTTTTTGGTTTTGTCCTTTCCTGGCTTTGGTATCAACATGATACTGGCTTTGTAGAACAAGTTAGAGAGGGTTCCTTCCTTCTCTATGTTATGAAATAATTTCTGCAGTATAGGTACCAGGTACACACCATGTTGCAAATTACTTTAAGAGGTTTATCTCTAAAACTCAACCATGGAGCCCTGGTACAATAGGCCTATGTTAGGAATTGCTTCCTTAGAATAGTCTTACTTGGAATGTTTTGGGACCTCGTGATGCTAGTACCTGCATTGTAAGCACCAGAATGGGCACATGGATGCAGCAAGACAATCCACACTTTTGCTTTTGGGAGAGGAAGAGTAGTCTTTTCTGCTGCCCCTGACATTATAGGGGTTCTCTGGGATCTCCTTATGTGAGTGAGGAAATGCAAAGGACCAAGGCCAACCTGACTGACAGATGTGTGTGATAGAGTGTGGTTCCACACAGATCAAAGTGTCCTCTGATCCAGAGGCCACTATGTAATGAATTCTTGAATTTGGTATAGCATGTGTCAGTTCACAGAGCACTTTTATAAATTTTGTATCATTGGACCCAGGAACATCATTGGAACCACTGGGTCAGGAATAGCAGTCCTGTTTTAGGAGGTGAGACAGTTAAGCCTCACAAAGGTTAAATGCCTTGCCCAGGGCCATCCAACCAGTTAGTGTCAGAGTTGACACTAGGTTTTCTGACCACAATCAATTAAGTTTTCCATCCTCTCAACTCCCAAAGCTAGACTTCTGTGTGAGTAAAATGTGGAATATAATTTTGGACTCTTTGAAAGGCCTTCTGTCTCTAATAGAACACAAAGACTTTCTATTCACAAGCAGAGGGAAGGCTCAAAGTGCAAAGTAAGTTTATCATCACTGAAAACAATTGCTCTCAGTTATTCGAGGGTGGGGGGTGGAGCTGAGCTAGGGATTATCCTTTGTGGTGGTGTGCAGGGAGCCTATGTGGCCACAGGACTCAAGAAGGAACAGGGAGAGGAAGCAGATTCCCAAACATAGTCATAGGGCCCACACTTCCCAGCCTGGACTAAGGCTGGCCCTGAGAATGATTAAAGAATAGCAGGAGGTTTGCAAGAGAAGAAAAAGTAAAAATAACTCACTTTGGAGAGGCCCAGCCATTTAGGAACTGGATCTTCCTTGGCTTCACATTTCCCAGCCCAGCTCTAGGGCTTGGCACAGAGTAGGCACTCGCGAATTGTCTGTGCTAAAAACAAAAAGGCACACTTCACCTTGGGGTTACAAGATCTATCTATGAGAAAGACTGTCTAGACTGTCAAGGATGAGTTTTCTGCAAGTGACTCTGTCACTCTGTAGCATAGCAGTGGTTAGAGGAAAGTACTTGGGACCCAGAAAACTAAAGTAGACTAAGAACCAAAAATAATTCTTTGGTTATTTGGGAGTAGGAGCGTCCTTTGCTGGCAGGCAGTAAACCTAATGAGCCCAGAGACCTCTTTTGTTTGTTATTTCCCTATGGCTAAATGACAAACTACTTTTCATAAAGGCAATTCAGTGGTTCCTTTCCATAACAGGAAAAAACAAAAATAACCAAACATCAACTGGGACCTTGAATCCTCTCAGCTGTGAGAAGAGACTCTTGCACAGGGGTCATAAGAAATTAAAGTCCCCGTGCTACAGCAAAGAGGCAAAGGCCAGGCTGCATTAAGGACCCATCTCTTGCTTCCTGTACAAAGAGGCCCAGGGTAGTGGCTAACCTTTAGGACCTCAACACAAATCAGTGGCATGACCACTGTGTTTCTCTAGGAAGGCTCGGGAAGAATCACAGAGAGGAGAGACAGGTGGGAAATCCTACCTCCAGGATTTAACACTCCTTCATGTCTCATTGTACAGTCAAGTAACCTCAGGAACACTCTCTAGCGCAGGGTTTCCTCAACCTTAGTCATGTGTTCATCACTGTCACAATTTTTGTCCTGCCCAAGTACCAGCTGTATTTGCATTTCTTTTATTTTTTTTTATAAATTCATGTACAATTTTCAACCTAATGCTAGAGCTTAATACCAAGTGTTCAGTATACAAGCAATTATTTTTCTAGAAACAACAAAATAGCTTCTGTTTTATGCTGTGTTTTGTGGTCTAAAAGTGCATTCTTTTACTATGATTTTTCTTTGAATATTAGGTTCTTGGGGAATGACATCACTTAAAACAGAAACTGGGGAAACACTTTGTACAAGTTTTTAAAATGTGGTTAAAAGTTGGGGGGAAAAACATATTCTTCCAATCAATGATATTTTTGCAAGAAAGTGGTATACCCAGGAACCTTTTCTCTCTCCCAACCCTGGTTGCATAATCAGGGAAGGAGGTGACTTTCATTCAGAAAATGAAATACAATAAGAATGATGTGAATTTGCTCAAAATAATAACAAGGAAAGAAAACATTTCTTAAAGGCAAAATCACACTGTAAGGCAATTTGTAAATCACCAAAAGAAAGCTTGCCTAAAGTGAATTTTGTGGCTGTTTCCAAATTCTTGGTGAAGATTAGCTCTCTCTAATTTGTTCCTAGCAAGGTGAATCACACCATGTGGAATTTATAGGTTTCTAACCCAAATGATCTTCTGTATCTGGAAGGACATCCTTAAAGAATAAGACAGAGATTGGCCTCACTGCCCTCCCATGGAATGGGCTGGTTTTATATTACTCAATTTAGTGAAAATTTATTGCTTATTTACCAGGTTTAAAGCCTGTGCTTTATAAACCTAGGGAGTACAAAGATACAAAGATAGAAGTCCTACAACTTCTCTGAGTTGTAATTGAGTAGAAGGAAAACAAGTAAACAAATAATTGCAGTATATTGCAACATGTAACTCAAGGCACTAAGAGCTATCTGTTTAATGATCATCATACTATACACATTAACCTACTTAATCCTCAAAAACCTCACTTTACATATGGAGAAGTGGTGGCACAAGATAGTCAAGTCACTTATCAGGGTTGATAATCTTATAAGTGGCAGAATCAGCAACCAAACCCAGATTGTCTGGTTCCAGAGCCATAGCCATCACAGGTTGGGGAATCATCAAATAAAGTGATTTGAAGATGAAGAGGTGTTTACCAGGTATAAGGAGAGCAGGAGGCAGGAAGCTGAGATGTGACACTCCAGTCCCAGAAAACAGCATGTAGGCAACACCTCTGAAATGTCTATTTAAATATGATGTAATGCTAGATGTGCTTCAAAGTTAGTTATGAGTCCGAGTCCTAGTTTTCATTACTCATTGTAAGTGTCTACTATATGCCAGGCATTGTATTCCATACTAGAAATATAACCACGAAGAGGACACCATCCCTCTTCCAGGGCTGGAGGGTCATTATATTTGATTTGAAAACCCACTGAGTTTGGATAAATTGTTTTGGGGTGACATAAACTCTTAAACATTTAAAATTAAATTAGAACTGGGAAATCTGTCAAATTTGGAGTTTCTGTTTTACACCTCGATAAAAACAAACAAGCAACAACCAAGATTCTTCATCTTTTCCCTTCTAGCAAAACACTTTCATTTTCCATAAATGCTTTAATCAGTTTGGAGTATTGGTTTAAACGTTTAGAAAGTACTTGAGAGCTTTAAGCATCAAACAGCCTTTTAAAGTGGCTTTTCCTGTTAACACAATGTTTCTTGTAACCAGTCAGTTGTGCCAAAATTCACTGCATGAAAGTAAGCTGTCAGGTGGGGTTGTATTTTGTCAGTAACGCATCAGCCTTTTGGATGGCACTACATTTTTCTAAGTGTTCAAGTTCACATTTTTAGTGTCTTTGTGCACAGCTTCCAGAATATCACTTTGCCATCTTGTAAATCAGTTTGCATTATTCGTGATAATACTTACCCTTATTATAATTACCACAAGTCATGGGAAGGTCCAACTGTTTCATTAGTTGACTGAGAACAACAAAGTCTAAAGTTTCATTGAAATCAGATGTAATGTTTGTGTTCCAAGGTCAGCTGGAAACTAATAGGAATAATTTAAGTCATAATATCCCAACTGAGGCTGAGCCACGTTAATCATTCTGCAGATCACACTGAAATGATTCTGAAGGAAAAAAAAATCACATCCTATTTCTCCCTCATTAAGTATACTGAAGACCAACCTTGTAAGAGGAAAGAATTAATCTATAGCAGGGTGGTCACAGTCTGTGCCTGGAGAGCTACTCACAGGCAACCCTCAGCAGCCCGGAGCCACAACCAAGGGGGCAGTAGGAGACTGGAGGGCTGATTCCCTTTTCTCCTTCCTCTTTTTTTCTTTTAATTTATCTTTTCCCTCTCCCATAACCTAGCAAGTGTGGAGTCAAGGGATGCTGAGAATGTCTAGAACCACCTGGAAAGTTCTCTAACCCACCATCTCCCAAAGCTGTAAATGTCAGAGATCTTCAAGAGTGTGGAAGGAAAGGCTTTCTCTTCTGGCAAAGCAGCCAATTGAAAAGCTTCCCATGATGCCCACTGGCCTTTTATCTAAAAATGTCTAACGCTTTATCTGTAATCATTAATTTTAACTGATACAGCAATAAGGGACTCCCCTTCTTACCATGAGTAAAAGAACCTGTATTAGTCTGTTTTGTGCTGCTATAACAGAATACTACAGACTGAGTAATTTATAAGAACTAGAAAATTTATTTTGTATGGTTCTGGGGCCTGAGAAGTCCAAGATCAAGGGGCCACACCTGGGGAGGGCCTTCTTGCAGCATCATAACATGGCGGAAGGTGTCATATGGGCGAGAGAGGAAAGGGGGCTGGGCTCCCCTTTTAAGGTGGGCCCACTCCCGAAATAATAGACCCACTCCCACTATAATAGAACAAATCCATTCATGAGGGTGGAGCCCTCATGACTGGAACACTTCTCAAAGATCCCACCTCCCAATACTGCTGCATTGAGGATCAAGTTTCAACACGTGAACTTTGGGGCACACGTTCAAGCCACGGCAGAGCCTCTTCTGTATTCAGGGTTCTGTCTGGTCACTCCCAGGTGTCCCTTTCTCTTCTGTGAATAAAATCAAGCTGAGAAGAGTGTGCTTTTATAAATTACAAACATAAAAGAAGAAGAAGAAAGCCTGTCTAAGGCAAAACACACATAAAATACATATAGTCATTATTTGCCTAGTGGTGGCATTTTGAGCAGAGATGGATGAGAAAATAATTTTTAGGCCATTGGAAATTCTGAATCTGTTAGACACACAAAGTAAAATCAAGCTAATAGGACTGGAAATTCTTGGAAGAGTGTATTACTGCTCCACCATATACACCTCATTTTCGTCATTTGCTTTGAAGAGGGAGGGAGCGAGTGGGGGAAACAAAAATTCAAAGTAGTATCTTTTTTTGCTTTGAGGATACATAAAGGTTCTACATAGACCTCTAAGTAGCAACAGTTTTCAGGAATGTTGAGGAGGGGGACATAATTGTTGACACAGAGGTTGCCAGACTGGGGATCAAAGAGTTGCCTCTGGCTATACGAAACTTAGAAGCTGCTGGGATGTGTTTCTTTTAACCCTCATATTGCTATTCAAGCTCAATTTAGGCACTGACCAGAATCTCCTCTCTCCCTCTCTTTTCCTTGATTGACAATTCCCTCTGAATCTTAATCCATGTAATCCTTTACACTCAGCAAAATGCTTTCATAAATTACTCTAAAACACACGCAATTACTGATAGTAGCCTATGTTTATAGTAGCCTATTTTGTAGGGCAAAATAGGCTACTATCAGCACAATCTAATATATTGTGGAGTACAATCTAATACAATCTAATACATTGTCTCATTTCATCACCTCAATACTCCTTTTTGCAGACAGAGTCTGCTATTAACTGGGATGAGATTCAGTCCCAGATGTCATATAACAAAAGAGGGAGCTGACCTAGAACTTGAAGCTGAACTTGAAGAGAACTGTGCTCTCTTCACCCTACACTACTACCTCCTGTTCCTTGGGCTGACTCTGGAAGAGTGAGGAGGAAGCGAGATGTATCTAGGTTCTGAGTTCTTCACTGTGGGTTTGAGCCACCTTTGTAGGCCCCAGGCAATCACTCTTCCAGTGCTCATATCAAATACTTGAAGTTATACCTACATTTCATATGACCTATATTTTTTATATATTTTAAATGCTTAAAATTTTGTATTTAAAATTATTTGGCTATAAATAACACTTGATTTACAAATGACTATGATTTCTTGATCACTTAAAAATGATGAAATTGGCTGGGCACGGTGGCTCACGCCTGTAATCCTAGCTCTTGGGAGGCCGAGGCGGGCGGATTGCTCAAGGTCAGGAGTTCAAAACCAGCCTGAGCAAGAGCGAGACCCCGTCTCTACTATAAATAGAAAGAAATTAATTGGCCAACTGATATATATATAAAAATTAGCCGGGCATGGTGGCTCATGCCTGTAGTCCCAGCTACTCGGGAGGCTGAGGCAGAAGGATCGCTCGAGCCCAGGAGTTTGAGGTTGCTGTGAGCTAGGCTGACGCCACGGCACTCACTCTAGCCTGGACAACAAAGCGAGACTCTGTCTCAAAAAAAAAAAAAAAAAATGATGAAATCTAGCCTACAAATTACTTTCAAATATATTGAAAATTTCATGAATTCTAAATTTAACACTAAATGAATTTGGCATGGTATTAAATTTTGCTGATGTTTAATTAAATATTTATTAATTTCAATGCTTTGCCCTTTTTGCATTTTGGGATAAATGCTTTTTAGGGGGGTAATTTTAGCATTTAAGCAGTTTTTAGTTCCTCAGATGCTATGCTTTTCATGGTCAATGAATAAAAGCCCAGCCAGGTCCACTGGCCCTGGTGAGAGTGGCTATTCATTCATTACCCATTTTGTGTACACCACACATGGAGGACGCCATGTGTGGTCTTTTCCATCAAATCCAATGCAAATGCTTTGAAATTTTCTTATCACTAAAAAGCCTCCCTGACGCTACTTACAAATATACTATCAGGGAATCTACTTCTACTGGTCCTATACAATTTTAAGCTAGTAAAACCTT